TGCTCTGGGCCATTTATTTCAAACCTCCTGGAATCTGAGGCACTGGGAAGGGGAATTTGTCCCACTCCAGCCTCACTCCTTGGGTACATCCCACCTACAGCTGTTCCCCAGGACTGTCACCCCATCAATCCGAGCCAGGACACTTTGGACTCCAACAGAGAGCGGGAGAGGGAATTTGGCTCCTCCAGCCCCAAACCCCACCCCAGTCCCTGGACACCGCCCTCACTCCCAGCCAGGAATCACCTTCTTCATCTCCTGCACCAGCTGCAGCTGGAAGTGGTTCTTGAGGGCGGCCATCTCCTCCTGCAGCTCCTGGATGCGTGGGTCGGCTTTGCCGTTCTCCTCCCGCAGGCCCTGCAGCTCCCGCCGGAGCTCCTCCAGCTCCCGGCTCAGCTGCCGCTCGTGGTGGCCCTGGGCTCGCTCGGTGGCTCCGGAGCCGCCGGCCAGCGCCTCCCGGGCTTGCTGCAGCTGCAGCTCCGCGGCGCGCCGCGCCTCGCGCTCCGAGCGCAGCAGCTCCTGCAGCTCGCGCAGCATCAGCCCGTGGTCGCCCTGCTCGCGCTCGCGCTCGCGCTGCTGCTCGGCCAGCCGCCCGCGGGTCTGGGCCAGCTGCTCCTGCAGCTCCGCGTCCCTGCCGGCCGCCTCCCGCAGCTCCCGCCTCATCTGCAGCCGCTCCGCCCGGTACGACGCCTCGGAGCGCGACTTCTCCCTCGTCAGCGTGGCCAGCGCGGCCGTCAGCGTGGCCAGCTGGGCCTGCAGCTGCCGCGGGCGCCGCTCCGGCTCGCCGGGACACGGTTCCCCGCTCTCGGAGCCGCTCGCGTCCTCCGCTCCCCGGGACGGGGCGGCCGCGGGTTTCTCCTCCTCGGTGTCCGGCCCCGCCGCGTCCTCACCCCGCGACCCTGCGGGCGGTGACACCGCCGGGTTCTCCTCGGGGGACGCGGACAGAGCCTTCAGGCTGGCTTCCAGCGCTTCCTTCTCCTTCAGGAGGCTCTTGTAGGCGAGGACGACGTCCTTGAGGCGCGCCTGGAAGCGCTGGAGCTGCTGTTTCTGCGTCTCGATGGTCTCCAGCAGCTCCTTCCTGCTGGGGCCGCCCCCGAAGTTCATCCCGAACTTCTCCATGCTGGGGGGAACCGGGGGAGAGGGAGGAGGAGGAGAGGAACCTTGGGGATGGGCACGGGGAATCGGCCTGGGCACACCGGGACGGCAAATGGGCAGCAGACAGCATAAACATCACAAACAAATATCATAAACGTCACAAAAAATAATAAAAATCACAAACAAATATCATAAACAGCATAAACATCACAAACAAATATCATAAACATCACAAAAAATAATAAAAATCACAAACAAATATCATAAACAGCATAAACAACATAAACATCACAAACAAATATCATAAACATCACAAAAAATAATAAAAATCACAAACAAATATCATAAACAGCATAAACATCACAAACAAATATCATAAACATCACAAAAAATAACAAAAATCACAAACAAATATCATAAACACCATAAACATCACAAACAAATATCATAAACATCACAAACATCATAAACATCACAAACAAACATCATAAACATCACAAACAAATATCATAAACATCACAAAAAATAATAAAAGTCACAAACAAATATCATGAACACCATAAACAAATATCATAAACATCACAAACAAATATCATAAACATCACAAACATCACAAACCAACATCATAAACATCAGGAAAATCACAAAAATAACAAAAATCAAACATCAGAAACATCACAAACATCACAAACAAATATCATAAACATCACAAAAAATAACAAAAATCACAAAAATCAAACATCCCAAAAATCACAAACCCGGTCCCACCCTCCTGAACCCCCATCCTGACTCCCACCCTGACCCCCAAAATTCCCACCCTGACCCCAAAACTCCCACCCTGACCCCAAAACTCCCATCCTGACCCCAAAACTCCCACCCTGAC